TATCTCGAAAGGAGAGAAGCCAGAGGGGAGGTGGGAATCGGCCGGTGCCAGGAAGGGCCTCTGGAAGACCCCGACTTACTGAGGAGACGGGTTGGCAGTGACATCCAAGGGCCATATTGGAGCAGAGGGTGCGGAGGAGGTTTTGTCGCAGTCAAGGTGAGAAGGAAGGAGGGTTGGATCCGGAGATCCAATGACAGTGACGTCAGAGAGAAAGCGGGACCAATCAGAGATATTTCTGAAGCAGATGCACCGGGGGATTAGACAATTTGGGACATGGGTGCTGGGGGAGTGAGCGGAGGTGGTGCTGTCTCATCCAGACCCACGAGCCCCAAAAGCCTCCAGCCTGGGAGTCGAAGGATTAACACATCCTGCTCATCCCTCTCTTGTCTTTTTCGTTAAGTATCTATGAGTCTCTTGGGAGACGTCTTCTCTAGAAGAGAGGTGAAAGTCAGGTGAGTCCAGGGTCGGGCCTCACTCCCTTGACAGCCTGCACAGAAGGAAGAGCCTCTTGCCTGGGGTCACTGGAGGGCCCTGGGGTCAGTATTGTGATGTCTCAGAATATCTGAGCTGCAGGAATCCCCAAAGGCAAGAGTCCTCATGAGCTGACAACTCAGGTTGGCCACCTGGTTCAAAGATGGAATCTGAAAAGTCAGCATGGGGGAAAACAAAACAGAAGTTGTCCACAGAAGTCTTTAAAGAAGGCTCCTTGGTGCAATAGAATCGCACCAGATCCCTTTAGTCTACACCGTCCTTAGGTGAATTCTGACATGATGTCAAGGAGGAAGTGTCTTTTTTATTTTTTTAGTATTTATTTATTTATTTCGGCTGCACTGGGTCTTAGTTGTGGCGTGCGAGCTCTTAGTTACGGCAAGCATGCAGGATCTAGTTCCCTGACCAGGGATCATACCCGGGCCCCGTGCGTTGGGAAGGTGGAGTCTTACCCACTGGACCACCAGGGAAGTCCCGAGGTATCTTTTTTTTTTTTTTTGCAGTACGCGGGCCTCTCACTGTTGTGGCCTCTCCCGTTGTGGAGCACAGGCTCCGGACGCACAGGCTCAGAGGCCGTGGCGCACAGGCCCAGCCGCTCCGCGGCATGTGGGATCTTCCCGGACCGGGGCACGAGCCCGTGTCCCCTGCATCGGCAGGTGGTCTCCCAACCACTGCGCCACCAGGGAAGCCCCCGAGGTATCTTTGATTCCATACGGTTACACTTCTTCCTGAGCTGAAAAATAATTGAGGGGGTCAATCAGTCAATGAAAATTTATTCTAAACTCTGGTTTTTATCCCTGGGCCCTGATCCTCATCCTGTTGTAATCAGTAGGAGCCCCCTTGTGGTCAGAAACAGCCTTCCTTCCCGAAGGCTGCCTCAGGAAAAGGTGGTCCACGTTCTCCCGCCCAACTGGCAGGTGGTCTCTGATGGGTGTCAAATCACTTCTGAGATACAGCTTGGAAAAGCCAATAGGCAGAACTTTACGTGGGTTGGAATGAAATTCATTCTGTTACCATTTGGGGCTGATGAAGAGTCGGGGGCAGGTGGGCTGGATAGGCCTTACCAGGCGCAAAACGAGCGTTCAGAGATACGTTCTGTTCTTTACGTCGGGTGGAGGACTCACATCCTTCCGGAAATCTCTGCAGCAGGACACGGTCACGCTCATGTCATTGCCTGACGTGTGCCAGCTCCTTAAATGCTACGACGGACAGCTGTACAAAGTAGGACGAAGCTCCTCGGAGGTGCTGGTTTGCATCCTTCCCAGAAATTGGTACCAGATGCTGGGGTTAGACCGCAGCCCTCACCCTCGGCGGTGCCCGTGGACCTCAGACCTTCTGAGGAGGCAGTCGTGGGGCCCGTGGACCGTGAGCCTTGGATCTTTCCCCAAGACTCAGCTTTTCTTTCTGAATTCACTGAGAATCTGAGTTAGCTCATGTAGAGAAAAAGCCAGTACACATGGTGACCTGTAGCTCCGGTGACCTGTGAACCCTGAACTGAGTCAGAGTTCTTCCTCTATTTCAGCCAAAAGAGAGCTTTTTAAAAGGAGTAATTGGAGTAGTTGCTTTGCATTATATATAACTGCCAGGCCTTGCGGGTTTGTTTTTTAAGCTCTGGAGTGACTATTGTAGTTTGGGGGTCAATTATATATAATTTCTACAGTGAAAATGTGCTCCCCTTAAGCTAGTCATGAACTTTTACCTTTTATTTTATTATTTTCTTAGAAAAAAAAAAATCCAGGGCTTCTAAATGTTTACCACAAAGGCTGAAAACTGGAGGCTGGGTCCAGCCCTTAAATATTTTGGTTTGAACTCCCCTCCTGCCCCCCCACCCCGTACTGGCCAGCATTTGGGGTGTTTAAATTTTTGAATCAGTTATCGATACTTGGAAACCTTGGGAAGAATTCCGATTCCAGCTTCTCCAGCCTGATGTCCTGCCCAATGGGCAGTGGCCAGGGCTGCGAGGTAGCGGAGCCCTCGGCAGGTGGAGACCGGGCCTCTCTCTCTCTGTCTGTGGCTCACGTGACCCGCGGCCACTCGTAACCAGAGGCCGTCCACACCGGCCGGCTGTCACATGTCTTGACACTTCTTTTAGGCTGCGTCGTGTCTTAGCTGCGGCCCGCGGGCTTAATTGCCCCCGCGGCATGTGGGATCTTAGCTCCCGGACCAGGGTTCCCAGGCTTCAAACCCGCATCCCCCGCATTAGAAAGCGGATTCTTTACCACTGGAACACCAGGGAAGTCCCTGTCTTGACACTTCTGTTGTAGGGAATTGAGGACGTTCTCCTTCATGACTTTTTGGAAGATGTTTCTATTCAGCATCTGAAATCTGTCCAGTTGTTTGGTAAGAAGTTTAAGCTGTGGTTCCTCACTGCTTCGGAAGGTTTTCCAGCCCTCTTACAGATCTCCAAGCTCAGAGGCAGGTTCCGAGGGACAACATAAATGCTGTGAGAGTAGATGAACTTTCCACGTGGGGCAGGCCTCCTCCCCTCTTGTGTTAACTGTGTCCTCAGGCACTAAACTGCAGTCCACCAGGCCTGGCCGCTTCGGCTGTCCCGGCTTTTCCTGTGGTGCCCACAAGGGATGCTTGTGCTGACACATCAACACCCTCTTACCATTTCCCCCTCGGGAATCGCAGCGGGGCCAAGGGAACAGGGAGGTCGGAAAGGGCAAGGGGGAGGCGGGCCGTGCCTCCCCTCTCTTGAGCCAGCTCCAGCGGCAGCTGCAGTCCTCAGCTCTCTGCCCACCCAAGCAGGGCCGGCAAGGGTTCCGACCCCAGCCTCCTCCCGCCTCTCTGTGCTCTGGGTGGGCTCCCGGGAGGCTCAGAGATTATCTCGCCCTCCTTAGAAATTCCGCCCACGTGGTCCCAGTCACCCTGGTGACTTTCCCCTCCATCCGGCTGCCAGGGCGCGGTGTCTGAACACTTCTGCTGTCGCAGAAGGCTATTCGTCCGCTCAAGCCTGTGACGGCTTCCTCTTGGGAGCCCGAGCTGCTCTGCTGGCTGTCCCCGGCCTCCCTGCATCTGACCCCTTGGTATCCCTCCAGCTCCGTGGCCCTTGTGAACACCAGCACACACCCACTGTGTCGGTCGCGTGTTTTACGGTCCTGGAAATTCCCGGTTTTCTCCCTCCTGCCTTTGTGAGGTTCTCCATCACTGCCTTTAGCTCTCCCCACCCGCCAAGCCCTCACCGCTTCCTTCCCTTCCCCTCTGCAGATCTGCCACGCTTGCACCCTGTGCGCTCTCTCCCCCGAGGGTCCGCAGAACAGGCCACGTCTAATCTTCACCCACGCCTGGCATCCCCAGCACCCCGGGCTGTGTTGATCCCTTTCTGACCCACTTGGAAAAGTTCACGTGCCCAGGCTGGGCCCTTGGGCCCGTGTGATTGCCAGCCAAGAAGGCAGCAGGAAGCGTCCTGCAGAGAGAAAGTGAGGTCTGGAACTTGCTGGGAAAGGAGGGGCGTGAAAGGGGTCCAGTTTTCCGGTGGCCCCTTCACCGCCTGCGCTAATCCCAGCCCTCTGGCTCTCCAAACCCCTCTAGGATCTTCAGTAGCTTCCTAGTTGATGGGCCTGCCTGCAGCCTTGCCCCGCCTCGGTCACACGCCCTTCCCCTCCCAGCAAGTGCTCTATAACAGCGGTTCCATCAGTTAACAACTGTCCACGGCCCCCATTGCCCGGATGGTCCTCTCTCCTTCACTGCTTGGCCTCTGGCCCGACCCTGTCCCCCTGCCCCCCATGACCCACTGGCGTTCCCCAGCACCGCAGACTGGTCATCCCCAAGAGGCCCTTATTCCTACTGCTGTCTGTGCCTAGTCACCCCCGCCCCCCCCGCCACTGCTCCCCGCCAACTCCTACCTAAGCGTTAAGGCCCAGGCAGAATATCCCCTTCCGGATGAAGCCATCCCTGATAACTTCTTCCGCTAGAACCGCTCACTTCCTTCTCCCTGTGTCTCACGTTGCCGGGAGCACTTACTCTGCTGTTGGGACGCTGTTTGTGCTCCTGGTAACCTACCCTTCGTGGGGAGCCCCTGGAGGGTGGAGGTCATTCCCCTTCATCCAACTGTGCAGCCAGCACCCAGCAGACACTGCACGAGTGTCCCCGGTAAGTGAATATGTGAATAAATGAATACATCCGGGAGAGTACCTCCTCTCTCATGTTTTCTCATTTCTGATCGTTTCCCGAGGAGAGCATGTAGAGATGAGAAGCTGAGGGAAGTCAGGGTTCCCGGGCAAAATCCTCAACTTCACGGAGCACACGGCAGACGCTGGAGGACATCACTTTCCTGGCATTGCGCGAGTGGGGGGCGGTTTAGTCAATGCGCCCCTGCCGGGATCTCGGAGCCACTTGGGAGGGGCGAGCGGGCAGCGGGGTGGGGAGGCTGGGGGCCTGGCTGGGTGGGGCAGGTGGATGGCTCTGCCCTCCTGGGTGCGTGGGTGCGCCACCCGTGTGCACTGCCTTCCTGCGTGCAAACCTGAAGTTAAAGCATCAGTAATGGGCGTGTGTATTGTTCTTCACAGAAGTTACTGTGTTTGTCAAAAGACTAAGAAGAAAGACATACCTTTCCAACATGGCAAAGGTAGGTTTCAGGCAACCAGACAGGAGGGAACAAAGCAGCTTTCCCAAAGCGAAAAGTGCAGGCTGCCAGTGTCCCTCAGAGCGGGCAGCAGGCCCCGTGCAGGGAGGCCGGCCCACCCACCTGGAGGGCAGAGGACAGCTTGCTGGGCCCCAGGTGCTCAGCTGGAAGCTGAGCTCCCTCCTCCCCTCCGGCCTCCAGGCTCTGCCCGTGGAGGAGAGGACGCAGGGCCAGCAGGTCACGGTTCTAAAGTTCCAGAGGGAGGCCCCCCAGGGGTGGTGTCCCGGGCAAGCCAACGTCAGAGGTGGAAGGGCATTGTAGCAGAGCCTAGGACAGACGGACAGGCAGGCAGACCCTGCACCCTGTGCATATGGCCCTGTGGACTCTGTGTGTCGGGGCACCAGGTCCTCGGCTCCGACCTTCTCACTCCTGGGTGTTAGCGGAGGGGAGAGAGGGGCTGAAGGAGATGTGCTAGGATCTGTTCTGAAATCCCACGGTGGCAGATGGGGACGGAGCCTGGGACCGGCCCTCTGCCCCAAATCAGCCCCGGCCAGGGGGCGCCCAGCCGGGGCCACCCTTTGACCACCTCCATCCCCCACCAGTAGGGTTGTTTCTCCTTCTGAGCTAGAGGCCCATCCGGTTCTGGGCACTTTCACCTTCCCCACTGGGGCGATGGCAACGACCTTGCAACACGACCTCCATCCCTACCCACTGGAGCGGCCGGCTCAGGGTCCAGAGCCTGGCCTGCTGGGAGCCATACCTTTACACTCACTGTTCCAGGAGAGTTTACTGAATACCCAAGGGCCCCTTTCCTCTCCGTAAAACAGACATGGCTGTAGTGCCTGCTCTTGGGGCCGGTGTGAGGATGACTCACCGCTCGTCCTGCAGACCCCGAACACGTAAGGGAGAGGTTTGTCCCATTGGACAGCGGAGGCCCAATTCACTGCCCCAGGCTCCCCAGAGGAAGGACAGGAGAGCTTCTGAGTCCCCACAGCCATCCTGTAGAGGCCGCCCGCCCTGTTGCTTCTCCAGAACCGCACTTGCCTGGCAGAGCCCAATTGCCCACCATTTCCCTCTCTAGAGAATTTAGGCCCCTTGCTCGGGGTGCAGAGGAGAGGGAACTGGGAGGAGGAGCTGCAGGGCCCTGAGACGTCTGCCCGTGAGCAGAAGCGTCCTAAATGCCGACTTTCAGAAAGGCAGTTCTAGAATGTGTGCAGTTTGAACATTTTGATTGTCATTTAGGAGTCAGGGTTTTGTTTTTGGGTTTTTTAGTGTGTGGTACGCGGGCCTCTCACTGTTGTGGCCTCTCCAGTTGCGGAGCACAGGCTCCAGACGCGCAGGCTCAGCGGCCATGGCTCACGGGCCCAGCCGCTCCGTGGCATGTGGGATCTTCCCGGACCGGGGCACGAACCCGTGTCCCCTGCATCGGCAGGCGGACTCTCAACCACTGTGCCACCAGGGAAGCCCTAGGATTCAGTTTTAACGGGCAAAACTACCCAAATCCACTTTTCTTTCTCTTCGACAACAAGAAAGTTTTGGTAATTTGGAGAGGGGGCATTAGGCCAAAGTAAGATGACAAGATTTCACTAAGTGTAGCGTTTGCCGTTGTCTTTAGACCATGAAAATGGTGCTGAAAAACAGCAGGAGAGTCAGCATCCTGCAGTTGGATCTACACGCCATCATGCATCAGGGCGCTTTGGATATTTCCCAGAAAGCCCCGACGAGTAATCCGAGCGGCACTGACGACCTGGAGGGGAACACAGAGATGAAATGTAATCCTCCTTCCTCAGCTGCTTGGTTGCAGTGTTTGGTATATAATCAGGGCTGTTATGGCCATCACTGATTTATAGATTTCCTAATAGAATTAGAACGTTCCTCTTTGACGTTATAATTTACCTGCTCGCACTCCTCTTCCTGCAGAAGGTGAGGAGTGCCCCGAGAACCCTCTTCCAGGGCCTGCCCTGGGGTCCATAGTGCCAGGACATATTTGCCGAGTGAGTGTGGTTGCTGATTGACAATATTTCTTGTCTCCTTGGGAAAACCCCCCTGTATCCCTCTTGTAGATGCACAGATCACCTCTTCGGGCCTGAGTGGGATTGACCTAGCCCTCTGCCTTGCCAGTTTCTGCTCTAACTGTAGTTTTGTTTGTTTGTTTGTTTGTTTACGCACCCTCGCAGCTTGTGGGATTTTAGTTCCCCAACCAGGGATTGAACCCAGGCCCATGGCAGTGGGAGCACAGAGCCCTAACCACTGGACCGCCAGGGCATTCCTGCACCAAGTGTTATTTTTAACAATGTGAAGTTTAACGGTGGTGCTTTGACCTTATTTCACTACTTTACAAACAAGTGCTATATAAGCCCATGAATATTCGTGCCCTTTGCTATTGTCTGGGGAAGGGGGAATTTCCCCCTCTACCCGTCTTGAGTTCTCCTGGCTGGACTAATAATCAACCTGGCGCAAGACAGGTTCCCAGGAGAAAAAGACACAAATTTTAAATCATGTGCACAGAGGTCTTATAGAGATGGGACCTAAGAAGTAGACAAAGAAACTTAGGTTTTGGGGTGCCCAATTAGTGAAGAAGCTAAACAGAATTGGGGCTTGGGTAGTAAATTAAAGAACTAACATGGTTTGGGACTTCCCTGGCTGTCCAGTGGTTGGGACTCCGTGCTTTCATGGCCGAGGGCCTGGGTTCAATCCCTGCTCGGGGAACTAAGATCCTACAAGTTTGGCGGCGCGGCCAAAAAAAAAAAAAAAGTAACATGGTTTGTTCTCAGCCTGAATTCCCTGTCTCTGGGGATAAGGGTGTCTCTTTACATCCTGGTGCCAGAAGGGCACCTTTCACACCGGAGATTTATTTCCTGTTTTCAGGGAGACCGAGGGGGAGGGTCAGTGTCCTTCCTGTGTTGGCCGTTTCTTAAGTAACTTTTCAATCAGATTAACCAGTATGCCACTGAGGCACATTTTGGAGCCGCGTACTCTGGGCCCCGACCCTATCTGACAGTTGTAGTTAATCTTAAGGAAGAAAATCTCCATTCTGATGCCAAAATCTGGCCTCTGTACGCTGGTGCCAGATTAAATCTCAGCGTTGTGGGTGAAGTAGAAAGAAATAGCTTTATTGCTTTGCCAGGTAAGCGGGCCACGGCGGGCTCATGCCCTCAAGACTGTGTGTCCCACCCTGGAGGGGGTCGTGAGGAGTCTTATCGCGTTCAAGGAGCAGGGCGTGGTCAGCTCGTGGACACTCTTCTGATTGGCTGGTGGTGAGGTCATCGGGAGTTGGCATCATCAACCTTCTGGTTCCAACCGACTGGGGTCTCCGTGCTCGAGGGCAGCAGTTAACTTCGCCCACCTGGAGGGGGTTTCAGTACCTGCAAAACAGCTCAAGGAACAGGGCTCAGAATATTCTCTAGAGCCCTTGAGGAGGAACTAAAGGTCCTTGACTGTGTTTAACGGCTAAAGTATTATTATTTTGTCTTGCTTGCCTGTTTTCCTTTCTTTCTGCATTTTCTCACTTCTCTGATTAAATTTCTTCTTTGGCTAAAGTTTTTCTACAGACAAAAGGCAGGCGGAGGACACGGGTGGAGGTCTATTCTGGGAAGGCCCCGTAGGGTCCTGCCTCAGTTACAGTTCCACGAAGAGCTGGCTTACACGTGGTTACATCACTGAGAGGGGACAGTCACCACAGCAGGAGGCTCCCCACTCGGGGGGAGCGGGGAGCTGCTTCAGGAGGGGCTGCAGACCAGTTACCACCTCCTCCCCCAGTCGCTAGGCTTTGGTCTGAGGGCTGCCAGGAGGGGTCAGCCATGCATAAAGCTGCCCCCCAGTGCCTGAAGCCCCCTCAAGGTGTGGGCTGTGGGCTTCACGGCCCGCCCAACACGGGGCTGGCACACGGGGGCACCTCAGCATTTCACGACCAGATGGCTACGTGGATTCAGCGATGCATTAAAAGCACCGCAAAGTATCCTGTCCTCTTCCTTTGACCTTGAGGGGGTGCTGACTTGGTAGGATTGCACCAGTTATTAAAATAGTGAAATGGGTCCTTACTTGCTGCTAAGTAGCTCCCTCCCCCCACTGCTTGCCTGTCCCTTGATTATATCCCCTGTCCCTACTGCCTGGCTGTCCCAAATCCCAGATCCTCCCCTGGGAGACTCCCCTCCAACCAGACCAGCAGCTGAAAGGTGAACACCTAACCCAGCAGGCTTCAGGGCAATGGAAGCCCCCCTCCCAGGCCACTGGCTTCCCCAGCAATCCCAGCTGGCTGCCCAAACCTTGCTCTCACCCCCAGCCCAAGCCCAGGGAGACCCAGGAGGCATGAGGCCTCTCCCCCAGGTGCCCGCCAGCCTGCCAGGGACTCCTGGGCTCCTGTTGGCATCCTTGCATGTCCTTTGCAGAGGGCACAGAGCCGGCAGGGAGACAGCATGACCCCTGGGAGACGAATGCCTGAGATGTGCCTGGAAGATCTTCCAGACGGAGCCTGACCAAATGTGCACCAGGGCCATGGCATCTAAATCTCCTTGGCACATGGGGGCACTCAGACAGATGCGCTTCCACTGTCCTTCCACTCTCAGCGCTGCCTGCGCGGGTGCGGGACCCAAGTCCCAGTGTCGCACACTTGGGCTGCAGCCCTCGGGCCTGTACTGACAGGGTCTGTAGCCCTGGGCGACTCACCTAACATCCCTCAGCGGCTTTGATGTCCACCATCAGTTAAAGGACTTGAACAAACTACCCCCTTTAGAAAAGTGGCAGGGATGGGTGAGGTCACGTCTGTACCCTGCAGTGAGCTCACTTGGAGCCGGGTTCTGTGTGATTACAAGGTGTAGTTATGATTTCAAACTATTTCTTCCCCTTTCAACAAGTAGCCGAGGGGATTGCTAGAAGGCGAGACCACAGAGCTCTGAACCAGACGACCTGGGGTGACAGACCCAGCCCAAGGCAGCCTTTGTGTTCAAAATGAGGGCGAGGCCGTGGGGAGTTCCTTTGAACTGCAGTGCGGATGCTATCCCCTAGGTCACCTGGGATACAAATACCTAAGGGGAAATTCTGCTCTACCACTCACAATCTTGGGTTTGTTTTGTCTGTTGATAGGTTTGAGCAGTTTAATTTCTTTGCTGGGCATGTCAACAGACCTCTGTATTCCTGAATTGTCTGTCTTCAAACCTCCAAACATTTGTCTTCCAGGTACAAAACCACGATTTTTTTTTTTTTTTTTTTTTTTTAGAAGAAGTGGGTGTGGGTCATTCTAGCTACATTATAGCACTGAGTGCCCAGGACCTGGTGCAAAGGAAAAGGTTTTCCCTGGCGCTCTGGACAGAAATGTGTCAAGGCCGGGACGGGGGTTCAGGTTGGGGAAGTGGTGTCTCAGAGGCTGGCACATCATGCAACTCTGTGTGTGTGTTTGCTCGCAAGTGAGCACATGTGTGCATATGTGAGCGTGTCTGTGCATGGGAGGGCATGGGAGTGGGTGTGGGCAGGTAAGTGTCGGTGTGCAGTTGAGTATGTGTGCACCAAGCAGGAGTGTTTAGGAGGGAGATGGGTTTGTCTGTTTGGGGGAGAATGGTGCTCATCTGGGGGTTTTGCAGACAGTCCCAGTAAGGTGTCAGGCTTGGGTTCACAAAAGCCAAGATGAATTGGTTTCGGACGTGGGCGGGTTTGGTCCTTCTGCTGGACGTGCCACTTGGACTTTACTTCTCAGTAGGCCCGTCGGCTTGACTGTCATCACCACCCTTATCAGTAGTCACGTTACCAAATCAGGCCCAGCTGCTTGCAGCGCAAGAATCAGTACTCAAGAGGCAAATGTTGGCAGGAAGGGAAACGGCCTTTGAGCAGATGCCGGCAGTCCAGGGAGACGGTGGACCCATTGCTCTCCAAAACCACCTCCGAAGATTCTGCTCGGCCGAGAAAGTTTTTAAAGCGGAAAAGGGAAGTCATCTCAGGTAATCACTGAGGTGGGGGGTCAGAGTGGTCACCGTGCCCCACTGTGTGCAGGCTTGTCGACTTCCTGTGCTCTTTCTTTAGATGCTGTCGTGTTCACACAGTTTGTTCTTGAGATTACTGAAGGGGAAGCTGGGGAAGAGATCGGTCATCATTTCTATTTCTTTGATCTACGGAAAGAACCAACAAGTTAGGCAAAGTATCGTGTGATCAAAAGATTTGAAAGGTCTGCTAGGGCCAGAGATGAGTAGAGCATGGGCGCGCCCGGTTTGAGGTTAGTGACAAGACGAAGGGACCTCCTGCAAAGAGCTCTTTTCTGCCCAAAGCTGCTTACAGTCACCCTGTAAGAGCGAAGGATGCTGTCAGGGGAAGCCCCAGCACCCTGGCCCCAGTGGGCTCGGAACACGGGGCCGCCCGCCCATCGAGCCATCATCCTCTGAAGGCCGAGGCAGCAGGAAAAGACCTTGACGAGGGAGTTGGGTTCCACTGGGAGGTGAAGGGCAGATAGGATTAAAATAAGCTGAGAAAGGGAGACACCGTTCCCGAGACAGGACGGCAGGAGCGGAGTGGGCGTAGGGAAAGTGGGGGACCGGCCTAGGGAAGAGGGGGACGTCTCTGCAGCAGAGAGCAAGGACCTGGAGGACCTGGGACCAGAACGTGACTCGGGTTTTCTCCTTAAGCCTCCAGCCGCATGTCTTCCTGCCCCCTCCATCTCCCCCAGAAAACCCAGGAAGGAGCTTGAAAGCTGGTTCCAAGCCTTGGCAGGTGTCTGTTTCCATTCTTTGCTCCTTGGATATAGTCTTTCCAGACTCTGTGTGGTTTTGATTCCCTCTCCTTGGTCCTCGGCAAAGCTCACTTGCCCCAGTGGTAATGTGCGCGGGTGCATAGCTGCAGAGACAGAGATTCATTCGACAGGATGAAGCTCTCCATCCTCTGGTCCTTGTTTCAGACACTCACGCAGCCTCCACTTCACCCCCGCTGAGCCCACTGAGACCGTTGGTACTGGTCCTGCGTGCAAGACCATGTAACGCGGTGTTTCCGTCCTCACCCCTGCAGCGTCACGAGTGAGGCATCTTCGAAAAATGGTGGGTTTGTAACTGCCTGCCTTTGAAGGGCTTGTTTTTGTAAAACAACCTGGCTGATAAAAAAAAAAAAAGACTATTGTCAATGAGATACTCAGACTGTTAAAATGTGAAGCCTCGGGCTTGTCCACAATGACTAATGGCCTCAACTTGTTAGCATCTGGCAGAGCCAGAGGAGAGAAGTGCTCAGCTCTGTCCTGCTTCATTTGTTCCCCTGGTTCTCGTGCAGTTCGGGCCCAGGGGTCCTTTCTAAATGTAGGAACCTGAGGTATCACGCTGCCGGCAAGAGGAGGAAAGCTGGGTAATGTCTGTGTTCACTTGCAAATGTTTGTGCGGAGATCGCCCACAGCTCCTTCTCTGGATGGTTTTAGGAAGCATCCTTGTGTGTGTTGAACACCAGCAGGGCTCCCCCCAAGAGCCCCGTTCCAGGTGGTCCCAAGTCGTGCGGGGAGGATGCCGCTGCCGAGGGGAGTCTGTTCCCAAACCCAAGTTCACGTGCCCGACGCACAGTGAGGCCTCACAAACCGAAAGGCTGGAGTTTGGAGCAGAGAAAGGTTTATTGCAGGGCCCAGCAAGGAGACGAGGAAGGAGATGGGTGGCTCGTGCTCAGCATACCCCGGGACTCCCGGAAGGGTTTCAACAAAGCAATTTGAAAGGCCAGGGGAGGGGAGGGGCCGGGTCCCAGGGTGTGTGATCAGCTCGTGCACGATCCTCTGATTGGTTGGTGGTGATCAGTCCTTAGGCCCCAGTAGGTCTCATGGTCATCAGGTAGTTAATTTCTTCCATTTGGTGGGAGGCGGGTTTTAGCATCTGAAACTCTCAGGAAATATGCACGAGATGCTATTATCTAGGTACTTCAGAGAGGAGCTACAGCAGAGGATATGGGGGGCAGGGGGTCTGTCCTGGGAGGGCCCCGTAGGGTCCCGCTTGGTTACAGGTCCACACCCACCCAGAGCCCAGGGTGGGCCTTTGGGGGCTCTCAGCGGGGGCTGAAGAGAAACCGAGAGGAAAGGGCATCTCCTTATTCCTGGCCAGTCCCTGCCGTTCTTCCTCGGAGACTTGCGGTTGAGTGTCTGGGTGGTCCTCACGCAGGAGAGTCAGGAGAGACTCGGGGGGTTCACTCCAACCTGTGCTGGAAATTACATACGACTCTGTTGATTTGTAACTCACCTGAAGTGTGGCCCGAGGCTGCTGTCAATCTAGTGAGGAGTTCCTTAGTCTGCACGTGGAGGCATCTCCCCGGTACCCAGTTTAGTGCCACTCAGGCCATCCGATGACCTTGGCTCCGCTGGACACACAGGTGGGCCTTCTGGGCCTCAGATAATTCATGCGGCACAGCGGCCAGCTTTGTGCCTTGCAAAGTCGGCACCCTTCCTTCCGTCACTGTGGGACTCTGGGCCCCTTCTTCACGGTGTCAGACTCGCCAAGTGTAAATTAGCCCCCGACCCTCTCGGAGGCAGCTGCCAAGGGGGCTGCAGCAAGGCCGTCCCGCAGGCCTCCCTCCCCTGTTGCTCCCCACAAGTGACGTTTTTCTAAAAAAATTGTGTGGGATTAAAAAAAAGAAGTAAGCTGCTCTCCCACCTCCTGCCTTCTCCCCGCCCACTTCAAAGGGTTCTGCCTGGGACCATCCCCACAGGAGATGGTGCAAGACCGGGCCCAGGCCTGGGCCGCCTCTCGCCTCGGCTTTCCTTCTTCCTGCCCCACTTTGACCTCGTGAGACTGTCTGTGCACCACCCGTGGGTGCATTTGACAACACGCTCGCCTTGATTTTTATCATAAACCCCAGCATTTTTTTCTCTCTAAAATGGCACAGCCGAGCAGAAGCAAAGAGGAGTTTATCAGATTGGCCACCACCATCCAGCTGAGATGGAATTTCCTCCTCACAGCCATGAGCAAAGCTATGACCCTCTGGCACAGAGACAGCTTCGGTAAGTCTGAGAACGCACAGCATTTTGTATTCTACCTTTTACAGATGTTATTACAGCCTAAGCGTTTTCCACATTGCTATGTGGAACCCACTCGTCTTTTTCTCACCTTTTTATGTAAAATACAACACACAGAGAACCACACACACAAAAAACCATATTAATCTTATTATTATGGCAATATGGTAGTTCATCAAACAGCTGGACCACACCTCACTCTCCTGTCAATGAAAATAATCAATAAACAATCTAAAATAAGAATAGAAAAGGGTTTTATGTGAGCCAAACTGAGGACTAGCCTGGAAGCCAGCTTCCCAGATGACTCTGAGAAACTGCTCCGGAGAGCAACACAGTTTTATATCTTGTCAAAACAAAGAACATTAAACAAGTCAGGGTTTCATTTCTTCAAGGTTATTTTTTTTAAAAAAAAAAAAAGAACAGACCAGCACGTACCCAGCGAGTCAGTATGGCCTTGTCACCTGGGAAGGGGGACTTAACCATCAAAGGAGTAACCAGTATCAGTGTCCCAGGAATGGAGGCATTTAATCTTTATTTTTAACATGGACATTCTTTACTTCTGGTCCATGTGTCCTTTTCTCTAATAATTAAAGCAGAGGCACAGTGTAAGTTTTGACAGGCCACACACAGGCTATTTTAGTTAGTATCAAACTCAAGTTCACTCATGTATAAGCCAGAATGACTTCCCTGTATCTCAATATGTGGACATGTCTTTTGTCACTCCCCTGCCATCGTTGTCGGACGCGCAGGAAACCTCCCCTGGCTTTTGAATTGTGCGTTTTCAGACATCGTGAGCAAAGCAGCAAGCATCCTCTTTTTCTCCATCTCCCAACTGAGATGGACCAAGAAATGGGTTCTTTGGGGGCACCCGGATTTAACCTTCAGGAATAAGAGTTGATAAAGTCCCCACTGCACGCAGATGGTGGAAAGAGTAAAGCAGTGTCTGTTTTGCCAACTTGCTGGTCCAGTAGAGGGTCTTTCGGGGCCCAGGGGGTCCCATCTGTCACAGCTGTGGTACAGACACAGCATAGGAGAGTCGCGGGGAGGGACAGTCACCACTGAGCCCCCCAGCCCCACGGAGGGGATCAGTCGTTTCAGCAGATGTCGTGCATCCCTGCAAAGTCCCAGGCACCTTTCTGGGCACTGGACACACAGCCGTGGACAGACAGACAGAGCCTCCAGCCCACAAACTCACACACCTATCAGGGCAAGGAATCCCTGCCCCCGGGGCTGCCAGACGCCCTTGCAGCGGGTACACAGGACAGGAAGAGCAGACAAGCCCTGTTCTAGACCGTTCTGCAAACACTGGGGCCCTTTGGAGGGTTGTGGCTGTACACAGCCATATATGTGACCCCCATTCGTCATGAGGCTGTCCCCGCAGATGAAGGTCAGCAGAGTTCACGTGCAGCCACAGGAGGAAAGCCAGCTCTGTAGTTAGTGCTGTCGACTGAAACAATGCACAGCCTGAAAGTTGAGAGTTGTGTTTTATTCGGTGGACAAACCCGAGGACTAAGGTCCGGGACACAGCATCTCAGATCACTCCGAGGGACGGCTCTGAAGAGGCAAGGAGGGGGCCGGGGTAGATAGGAGCCGTTTTTGCAACAAAGACCAGGTAGTCGGAACATCAAAAGATGACTGTTAATTAAAGAAAACCGGATATCTCAAGGTAAAGAGTTTAGCACTTTTCTACGTATGGGAAGACGCAAGAGTCTGGGCTCTCTGGCATCGTTCCTTTGATGTGCTCCTCGGCTATCTGGGGCCAGTATCCTGCGTTTTCTCCTCCTGAGTCTCCTCAGGGTGCACGGCTGGGGGCGGCTGCAGCAGCTCATTGCTAGATGGGGGGCATCCCGCCCGTATCCTGAGTTCCCTCAGGGCTCACGGTCTCGGGGTGGCTGTCACGTGACGGTTCGATGGTTGCAACATCCTTTGTCTACTGATACGGCAGGTGGCATCCTCAGTTCACAGCGCTTTCCCCTCGGCCTTCTAGGGCCTTCATGTGAAGTCAGAGTATTCACGCCACTAGTTTTTCCCCTTCACGTGGACCGTGGTGTCACAAAGTTAAACAAGCCAGGAGTTGTTTGTGGGTCAGGCTTATTCCAGACCAGGCCATGCCCCTCATGGAGCCAGGTTCTCTCACCCGAGGTCTAGCAGAGAACAGTGAATGTCGGATAAAGCTCTGAAATGGACAGAAAGGGTCAACACACCCTTCTGGTCTTCCACGGTCTTTGAGTTATTTTACACATCTTGTAAGTTGTATCAAACAGATAATAATGCAAATGATTCCCCTCCACACAATGCAAACTAGTGCGTCAGCGGGGTGCAGTTGATAACTGCCCTGAGCACAGAGCTGTGTGGCATCCGTTTGTAGATTACTGTCAGTGGCATTCTTTGTTGTCTATGTATGTTTAGTGTCTTGAATTCTCTCTCCATTTTTTTTTTTATAAATTTATTTATTTTTGGCTGCATTGGGTCTTCGTTGCTGCACACAGGCTTTCTCTAGTTGAGGTGAGCTGGGGCTACTCTTCGTTGCGGTGTGTGGGCTTCTCATTGCAGTAGCTTCTCTTGTTGCAGAGCATGGGCTCTAGTCGCGTGGGCTTCAGTAGTTGTGGCATGCGGGCTCAGTAGTTGTGGCACACGGGCTTAGTTGCTCTGCGGCATGTGGGATCTTCCCGGACCAGGGCTCAAACCCGTGTCCCCTGCATCGGCAGGGGGATTCTTAACCACTGCGCCACCAGGGAAGTCCTGAATTCTCTTTTGAATCAGCTGCAACATCTTACTAGTTCCCTCATTAATTGAGTCCCGTAAAATCTTTGACACACATTCATTTTATATCTGTATAAGAGTCGTGGTTTTACCTTCATTAAGTAATTGTCTTTTAACGATTATAATAGGCCAGATCTCCCCCCACCCGCATTGCTCAGATGAACATTAATTATCCTTTTCCTTTCTGGAACCAAAGGCCCTAGGATTCAGAGCACTCAGCAGAGCCACACACCCTACTGTCCCCCACCCCAAACTCCCTAAGGACAACCCTTGCAGGCCCGCGTGAGAGAATGCATCCCTTACCCACCTCCCTCCAGGGGATGCAGCCATGCAGCATGTGCCAACCACAAGCGGCCGAGGAGCACATCCTCCAGCTCTGGGAACAGCACCCATTTCTCTGTAGGGTTGCTTTCCTCCCATCTCACGCTAGCTGGGTTTATGTTCCCTTCCATGGCTCAGGCCATCAAGCTCCCTGTGCTTTCTGTCTGAAAGCAGCCTTGCTGGGGTCCTCTGGGTACGGGATGCCGCGCAGGTGATGGATGCTGCCCGGGGCCCTCAGGATCAGCCAGTAGGAGTGAGGCTTTAGTGCACAGGAGTTCAAGGCCCCAGAAAAGCTGTTAGTTTCACGGGGATCTGTTTACTTGTCCATCTGCCTATCTACTTACTCACTTGGGGTTGTTATTTCAATGTAGGCTCCTGGCATCTGCTTCACTTGCTGCTTTTGGAATATGTGATTCACATACTTCAGTCGTGCATAGAGGAAGATGAGGAGGACGGTGCCATGGGAAATCTCAAGGAGATGCTACCAGATGACCAGCCTCTTGTCCCACCAGACCAGGAACTCTCCTGCCCTCCAGACCCCTCCCCAGCTCAGGAGGGTAGAAGCCCGAGTGCGGATCCCCCCCCGCCCCGGGTGACGCTGAGACACGAGAGCCAGAGCCAGTGTGCCACGGAGGGGAGCAGTGTGGTCGTCAGCGTCCCAGGCTTTCTGGTGGACATCGCCACGGGCAACAAGTACAGGTGCTGGAGCCCCAGCTTCCGTAGTGTTTTCAGGGAAATGAGAACTACCAGGTGGTTAGGAAGCCCACAAAGGGGATACGTTGTCCAAACAAGGATACGGGATTCTAGATTCATCTCAGCTTTAGCTGACTTTGCCAGGGGTGATTATAGCAGCATGCCCGTTGACCACTGGTCAGCTCTGAGACATGCCCGGCTTGATTAGAGGTGTGGAATATGGGGACGGCCCAAGCCTGGCCTTCCCAGAGTCTGCCTGGCATGGTTAGACTCGCTGAGCAGTAGATCACTACCACTCAAAAGAGTGACATGCTGGGCTTCCCTGGTGGCGCAGTGGTTGAGAGTCCGCCTGCCGATGCAGGGGACACGGGTTCGTGCCCCGGTCCGGGAAGATCCCACACGTCGCGGAGCGGCTGGGCCCGTGAGCCATGGCCGCTGGGACTGCGCATCTGGAGCCTGTGCTCCGCAACAGGAGAGGCCACAGCAGTGAGAGGCCTGCGTACCGCACACACACGAAAAAAGAGTAGTTTCTGAAAAAGTAATTTGAAGTAGGAATAATAGTGAGACCTTGTACAGATGGAAATCTCCCCAGGGCGCATCACTGGTTGTCAATGTGGTGCCCACAGCAAGAGAAGCATATCGCATTTTTCTTCACGTAGTAATAATAGCTACACCCACATAGATCTTGGAACATAAATTTTCACACATGATGAGTTGGAGGCCCACTAACATTCTGTCAGCAGAGTTTTCCAAAACCAGAAATTTTTTAATTTTTTTGCGGTACGCGGGCCTCTCACTGTCATGGCCTCTCCCGTTGCGGAGCACGGGCTCCGGACGCGCAGGCTCAGCGGCCATGGCGCACGGACCCAGCCGCTCCGCAGCACGTGGGATCTGCCTGGACCGGGGCACGAACCCGTGTACCCTGCATCGGCAGGCGGACTCTCAACCACTGCGCCACCAGGGAAGCCCCAAAACCAGAAATTTGATCTAAAATGTACAGTGATGTGTTCCATAACTGTCATGCATCCTTTTACCAGGTACTTTTTAAACATGGGGGCTCATCAGTGAACAAAACAGGTCTCTCCCTGCCCTTCGGGGGTGAAGAGGCTCAGAACAACCCTCCCCAAAATGTGCCACTTTGGCATGGGGACCCTGCAGCCTCCAGAGAAGTATCTGCCCTTCTCTTGGCTACCTAGAAGAATTTAAATTGGGGGTATTTTCCAGAATGAGTTACCAGCAGTAAATTTTATCCGAGTGACCCATCTGTAGGGCAGGGCAAACATCTAATTACCAAACATCACCCACTCTTCTTTATTGTCCTGAGAATTGCACCCTCCTTCAAAGCCCCAGGCCTCTTTCCCATTCCTTAGCTCAGGATGGCATATCTACCTCGTTTTACACTTCTGTCTTTGAACCTCTCATGCATGTGGGGTTCCCGTACATACAAAATTAACCTTGTTTTTCTCCTGTTACTCTGTCTCATTGATTTGGTTATTAGACCAACCGAAAGACCTTTGAAAGGTAGAGGAAAATTCTTTTCTCCACAGCAGGAGCTTATATTCCTGGTGTGAAGAGACTGGCAATGAACTAATCAACAAAATAAAGCCTGATATCTTAGGTGGTGATAAGTGTAATAGTAAAAATAACACACAATAAAGAAGAGAGTGATAAAATTAGGTCATTGGTAGAGAAGTGGATGGACCTAGAGACTGTCATACAGAGTGAAGTCAGAAAGAGAAAAACAAATATCGTATATTAATGCATATATGTGGAATCTGAAAAAATTGGTACAGACGGTCTTATTCACAAAGCAGAAATAGAGACACAGACGTAGAGAACAAATGTGTGGATACCAAGGAGAAGGGGAGGGTGGGATGAATTGGGATTGACATATATACGCTATTGATACTATGTATAAGATAGATAACTAATGAGAACCTACTGTGTAGCACAGGGAACTCTACTCAGTGCTCTGTGGTGACCTACATGGGAAGGAAATCCAAAAAAGAGGGGATCTGTGTATACGTACAGCTGACTCACTTTGCTATACAGCAGAAACTAACAAAATGTTGTAAAAAAACTATACTCCAATAAAAATTAAAAAGGAAAGAAAAGCATTAACAGCCAAAAAAGAGAGAGAGAGAGAGAGAGGCAAGGATGGGAATGTTACTTCTTACAAGATTCACAAGCAAGGTGTAATTTGAAAAGAGATCCAAAGAAAGTAGGAAGAAGGAGAGGTGTGAGAGTCTTCCAGAAGGGAGGGAGAATGAATCAGAGACATGAAGTAGCCCCTGGGCCCCCGTGATGTTATTGGCCATGAGTTTAAAATGATTAAGGAATTTAAAATCCTTATTGGTTTCCAGGAATATGGCAAGCTAGTGTAGTTGAACCAACTCATCAGGTGAACACAATACTTGTTAGAAAAACTATAAAATATCTTTAAAGCATCAAAAAGCGGGCAAGGGACTTCCCTGTCAGTCCAGTGTTTAGGACCCCTCGCTTCCACCGCAGGGGGTACGCGTTCAATCCCCGGTGGGGGAACTAAGATCCCGCAGCCAAAAAACGGCCCAAAAAACCAAAACATAAAAAAAAAGAAAAAACAAGCAATATTGTAACAAATTCAATATAGACTTTAAAAATGGTCCCCATCAAAGAAAAAACCTTTAAAACAATAAAAATAAAAAACATAAACACCAAGGCGATGTTTTGCAATCCACACAACTTGGGTGACCTCTTAGTAGAGGGCAGTCATCAAATATCACACCTGCCCAGCGTGGGGAGTCCAGTGGCACAGCTCACACACCAGAACATCCAAAGGGCTACGCACTGCAGGTAGGGGTGAGTCAGAAGTAAGGCTGCACTCCTGACCCCTCCTACCTGCCTCCACCCACCCAGGAAACAACAAAGAGACTTGCTGAGTATCTCAGGGTGGGGAGAGCTGTCCTGAGAAATTGTAACCAAGAGCTTGCCCCAGATCAGATTTTTAAAACATTTTTTTTGGAGATATACATACCATAAATTCTTCTCATTTAAAGTGTACAATTTGTTGATGAAAAAATTAATCAGTAGTCCATCTCAGAAAGGAAAATGTTTATTTGAGCCAACCTGAGGATTATTCAGAAAGCTCTGAGAACAGTTCCGCCTTGACCTGTCAGAGGTCAAAGCATAGTTATATAAGTTTTTGAGACAAAAGGTTATAGATCAAATGGCATATTATTGACAGCTTACACAGTCCAGATCTACACGTACAAAGTGAAGAGCTGGTCATGGGTCGTCCCGGCCCGTTACAAGATTAAGAAGGAAGGTTATCTCCTAAGGAGATCCGGTTAACGCAGATACACAGTATACACTCTAGAGAAGGCAAACAGGCAAAGACAAATTTTATAATTAAATTTTCTTGGCTTGCCATAAAACGTGAATTTCATTTCATCAAATTCAGTGATTTTAGCATATCTAGAGAGCTGTGCAACCATGACCTTGATCTAATCTTAGAACATTTTCATCACCTCAGAGAACCGCCACACACATTCACATTCATTACCTTTTCCCCTTTTTCCCAGCCCCCAGAAACACTCCTTTTATTGAAATGATAATTCCGGCAAATGAATACACCACATTTTATTTACGCGTTCATCATCTGGCAGACACCCAGGTGGTTTTCACTTAATAGAAAACATGAATAAGTTCGTCTCCATTTGAATAATGCCTCTGTAAACATTTGTGTACAAGTTTTTGTGTGGACATATGTTTTCATTTCTCTTAGGTATATACACCGAGGAGTGGGAGAGAGGGATAAATTAGGAGTTTGGGGTTGACATATACACACGACTATATTTCAAATAGATAGCCAACAGGGACCTACTGTATAGCACAGGGAATTCTGCTCACTATTCTGTAATAACCTAACTGGGAAAAGAATTTGAAAAAGAATAGGTATATGTATATGTATACCTGAATCACTATGCTGTACACCTGAAACTAAGACAACTTTTAAAATCAACTCTACTCCAATATAAAATAAAAAATTTTTAAGTTGTTTAGAATTATCTGAAAAAATTTTTTTTCAGAATAAATTGGATGTCCTAACAGCTTCTAGTGATGACTTATGAGGATTTGTTTTTAATTTTGTTTCTAATCATTATTCACTCAGAGAGACCTGCATACCCTCTACCCAGTTTCCCCTCTACCCAGTTTCCCCTAATACTTATATCTTAAACAACTGGATTGTAACATCAAAAGCAGGAATTTTCCATTGATGCAATGTATGTGTAGAGTTCTAGCATTTTCTATTACCTGTGGGTTCATGTAACCACCACCACAGTCAAGACACAGAACTGTTGATCACCACAGAGATCTCCCTCATGCCACTGCTTTACATAGCCACACACCATCACTAACCCTTAGCAACAACTAATGGCTTCCCCCCCTATAATTTTGTCATTTTGTGAATGTTATATAAATGAAATCATACAATATGTAACCTTTGAGACTAGCTTTTTTTTCTCAGCAGGATACTCTTAAGATCCACCCAAGTTGTTGCCTTTATTAATAGTTTGTTTCTTTTTAGCGACGAGGGGTATTCCATGGTATGGATACACTGCTGTTTGTTTATTCACGTATTGAGGGACATTCGGGTTGTTTCCAGTTTGGGCCTGTTATGAATAAAGCTGCTATGAACAATGTGTCTACAGGTTTTTGTGGGGAACATATGTTTTTATTTCTCAGGGATAAATGCCCAGGAGTGCAGTTGCTGGGAATATGGTAAATGTACATTTAGGCCTTTCTTTAACTGCCATCATTTTTCTTTTTGATGCCTAAATTATTCCATCTTTTCCCAGTGGAGGACCTTTCAAGTTGCTTCTTTTGACATGTTTCATTGGTCTTTTCTAGCTGCTGCTGCTTCTTTTTTTTGACTGGAGAAGACATCCCAGGCTCCTCTTGTACATTTCCAGCCCCAAACTTTAAATGGTGCTTTGGTACCTTTGACCATGTGCCTCTTATTGTCCTCGACAAAGTATTTGTTAATGGGAAGTGATAGATAAGCAGCAGATCTGCAATCCATTTTCTCCCATTACAAGTCAAATCTGCTTGTAAATATACCGAGGACCAATTTCCTGCAGCCAAACCTCATAGTATTTGCCAGTGGGGGAGTCCTTTTCTATAACAGCACACACGTGATGGTTCAGGATTGCTTACAATAAACAAATCTGAGATCTATGGGAAATGTTACCAAGCCAAGTAACTGAGCCCCAATTCAAAATAGCTCCTTCTTTGTGAAATCACCTCATGCGTCATTTAGAGGCCTCCTGAAGTACTCATATATTGCTAGTAGAACTATAAAACGGTCAAAAATCATTTTGGAAAACAGTTTGTCAGTGTTTTCATCTACTTGGGCTGTCGTAACAAAATATCGTAAACTGGGTGGCTTAAAGAAACAGACATTTAGTCCCCACGGTTCTGGAGGCTAGAAGTCCAAGATCAAGGTGCCAGGTGATGGGTTCCTGGTGAGAGCTCTCCTCCTTCTTGCAGACATCTGCCTTCTTGCTGTGTCCTTACATGGGCTTTCCTTGGAGCAGAAACACAGTGGGGAGGGGGGCGCAGGGACTCTCCCATTTCTCATAAGGCCGTTAATCCCCTCATGACCTAATCTAACCTTACTTACCTTCCAAAAGCCCCATCTCCAAATACTGTCACATTAGGGGTTAGAAGTTCAACATATGAATTTGGGGGGCACAAACATTCAGTCCATAACAGAAAGTTCTGCATAAAATTAAACACAGACCTACACTATGACCCAATGATTTTATTCCTAGGTTTTTACCCAAAGGAAAGAAAACATACATTCACAAAAAGACCTGTAGAAGGATATTTACAGCAATTTCACTGCTAACAGATAACACCTGAAAACAATACTAATAACCATCCTTAGGATAATGGATAAGGTAATTTCAGTATGTTTATTGTATTCATTTGCTTGGGCTGCCGTAACAATAAACTACAGATCTGGTGGCTTAAACAGCAGAAATTTATTTTCTCATAGTTCTAGAGGCTGCGGAGTCCAAGATCAAGGTTCCAGCTGATCCAGTTTCTGGTGAGGGCTCTCAAACCTGACATCTCGAAGGCCTGAGAACCAGGGGGACCAATGCAGTGAGTCCAAAGGCTCCAGAACCAGGAGTGTCGATGTCCAAGGACAGCAGCACATGGATGTCCCACTTAGGCAGAGAGCAAATTGGTCCTTCCTCTGCCTTTCTGTCCTATTCAGGCCTTCACTGGATCAGATGACGCCCACTGCATTGGTGAGGGTGATCCTTACTCAGTCTGATTCAAATGCTAATCTCTCCCAGGAACACAGACACGCCCAGAAATAACGTTTTACCAGCTATCTGGGCATCCCTTAGCCCAGTCAAGTTAACACATGAAATTAACCATTCAAACAAGCCAAAGACAATTTGTGACATATTTGAACACCCTAAGCCTGGAACATAGGAAATAAAATTAATTCTAATAAATCAATACAAAAAAGTACAGACAACCCAATACAAATGGACAAAAGACATTAACAGGCGTTTCACAAAAGAGGGTATCCAGCTGGCCAATACTCGTATGAAAAGGTGATCAACCACGTGAGCCATTAAAATAAAAATGAGTTATCACTACGCATCCGCCAGGTTGCTGGGATGGGGGGCAGACAGCCTCGCAATAATCTGTGTTGCTGAGAATGTGGAGCAACAGGAACCTCCACGCACTGATGGTAGCAATAGATTGGTCCCATCATTGAGGAAATCTGTGTGATGTTATATAATAAAATGAAACAGACTCGTGCCCCAGAACCCGCGACTCCACTACAAGGTACGTACTCGAGAGAGCTCTTGCGTGTGCGCACCCGTACCTGAGCTTGGCATCCTCTCGAGAACTGGGTCTGAGAAGAGGACCTGCACCTAGCTAGTCATTCTGGGATGCAGTCCTACAGAACCAAAGTGGGGGGACTGACTAGAATGACTGGAACACGGAGGACGGAAGGCCAGTCTAAGGGTGCATCACTGTGTTGGTTACCATTGTGAGTAACCGGGGCTCAATCCTGTCGGAGACCCTCCGAGAAATTGTGGAGAGTGGCCTTCGGAATCATCCACTTGTGGCTTGGGAGTGGGGAGTATTTATCTTCTGGCTTTTGGACCCATTCGCCAAGGGTCGTGGCAATGGGGGGTTAATGTTCCGCACTCGTGGCTTTTCACATTGCTCAGTGGAACCCTACCTATGTCCCACGTGGCAGTTGGCACACAGGCCCTGAGGCAGAAAGCAAGGGACATACAGATTGGTGAGGTAACCTGCTGCCGTCTGTACCACCATTAGTTGGTTACCACAGCAACAACAGGAGAAAACAGAGGAGCCCAGAGCAGTGAGACAGAACATAAAAGACACCAACACATCAGAACACAAGACTGTTCATAAAACTTTATTATTGGAAACAGGCCAGCTTCCCATCCATACGAGAACGTGTTTAAGGGTGGTGCGTTCATACAGTCCTCTGCTACACCACCCTGGCCGCGTTCTCGCTGGGTACTGCTGACTCCACTTTAGTGTATGTGTAGTGAGCAATTTGATTCTGCTTTTAGATGAACTGGAAGCAATGCCCTCCTGTCACAGCGAAGTGTAAGATGGTCACGATCCTTACAGAGCAAGAGGATGGGCTTTGGCCTCAGACGGACTTGGCGCTAATCTTCATCGTTCGCTCGGCTTCCTCCGCCATAAAATGATAACCATCCCTACCTTGTGTCTATTTCACAGCACATAACGCTTACTCCGCACCACACACTGTCCTAAGCCTCTCCAAATATTAACCCGTTCCCTCCTCCCATCCCTCACTCCCATGATGTAAATACTGTTTTCTGCGTTTCCTAATGAAGGAACCGGGCACAGAGAGCTTACGTGACTCGGCAGGGCCACACAGCTGGTGAGTGGAGGAGTGCGCTGAGCCGGGATTTGAACAACCCCCCTGTCTGGCTGCAGAACCCGTGCCATCCAGCGGGAAAGAAGCGCATCCCCGGCCCAGCCGCGCAGAGAGAACTGCGCACCGTGTCTGCCGTGCGTGCGCAGCCCCGCCTCCTCACGCGGCGCACGGCTGCGAGGGCGGCCCCGGGGCCCCGCCCCCGGGCGCCTGCGGCGGGGGCAGCGGGTTCTTCTCCCGGTCCGCCGTCGGGGGCCGCTGCCCGCGGTCCCCAGGGCCGGGCGCGCCCCGCAAGATGTCCGGGCGCCGCGGCCGGCAGCCCGGGCCCCGCCTGTGCTGGCTACTGTGCTGCAGCGCCCTGCTGTCCCCGGCCACGGGCTACGTGATCGTGAGCTCCGTGTCCTGGGCCGTCACCAACGAGGTGGACGAAGAGCTAGACAGCGCCTCCACCGAGGAGGCGCTGCCCGCGCTGCTGGAAGACTCGGGCAGCATCTGGCAGCGGAGCTTCCCGGCCTCGGCGCACGAGGAGGAGTCTCACCTGCCGCCCCCGGAGGGCACCGCCCGCGCCAGGCCACCCCCTGCGCCGCCCGGGATGTTCTCCTACCGGCGCGAGGGCAGCGCGAGGCTGCGCCCGGGCACCGCCCGCTTCCTGGCCCACGCCAGCGCCTGGGGCTGTCTGGCCACCGTGTCCGCCCACGAGAAGGTAAGCCACCCGGCCGCGAGCGGCGTGCAGGGGACAGGGAGAGCCTGGGGCCACTCCCGCGCTCGGATCCAGGTCTAGCAGACGTGCGCTGGAGGCTGGATCGGCGTGGACAGCGTGTAATTAATGCAGCCAGATTGTGCTTCGGTTACCCTGGCACCCTGGCAAAGGCAGGAGGGGTGGGGGTGGGGTGCTGGGGGAGAGGACGACAAGCAGGCTTCCTGCCAGGTGGATGGGGACCGAAGCGCAGTCGAGAAGCGCAGTCTTGAAATGGCCAAAGAGGTGTGCAAATAACCAGCGCCCGACCAGAGGCCTGGACAGAAGAAGCCTGAGCCACCGTTGGCATCACCGAGTAGCGCGTCCAGCCCTGCCCGCCCATAGACCAGAGCTGCCCCATCACTTACTGACCCCGAACCGGGGCTTTGGCGGAAATTTGCATTTTAAAAAATGGAATCCGAGAACTGTTCTGGAAAGGAGATTTATTGTGCGAAGCGTCTAAACGTTGGAGTGACAGCGCTGTCGTCAGCTGCAGCTTCCATCGTTCGTTTCACAGGTGTTTTACTCACCTGTTAGACATGATTCCACCTGAAGTGGAAATGCCGTGGATACACGGTGAGGATGTGACATCCATACGTGTACACCCTCCAGAAAGCTTTCAGGGCTGTTAAGATAGATGTAAGGGTTTTATTACAGGGCAGTAATTTGAACTCCTATTTACTTCATGCAAAAAAAAAAAAAAAATACTGTTTTATGGAGTGTGTAAGTCACTGGCCAGGGGGAAGGTTCTGGGCCCAGCTCTGGGTCTCACCAGCTCTGAGACTGTGGCCCAGTCACTGGGTTCTCCACTTTGCTTTCCTCATCTATGAAATTAAGTGATGGACTAGGTAGTTTTGAAGGTCCGCTTTTGCTTTGAAAAAAAAAATCTAAATGACAACTTTATTTTTTATTTATTTATTTTTTTTTATTTTTTTTTTTTTCGGTACATGGGCCTCTCACTGTTGTGGCCTCTCCTGTTGCGGAGCACAGGCTCCGGACGCGCAGGCTCGGCGGCCATGGCTCACGGGCCCAGCCGCTCCGTGGCATGTAGGATCTTCCCGGACCGAGGCATGAACCTGTGTACCCTGCATCGGCAGGCGGACTCCCAACCACTGCGCCACCAGGGAAGTCCGACAACTTTATTTTGATGAGAAATGATCATAAGGTCTTTCACAGCTTCCAAATAGTTCTTCACAGCTATATCTTATACTCCTAAGACATACCTTCAGAAGATATGAAGCTTAAATATGAAGCTGATCTTGGTTTAAAACACAGATCACTTCAAGCAATTAAAACTCTAGTGCCAGTGTATTCAAGGTATTATGACTTTCAACATCCCTTTTCTTAGCTTTGTTAGTAGTTCCCTTTTCCAGTATTGACGTATACTCCAAATGCAGTAAATTCAGAGAACATTTACCATGTGCCTGGCGTGTGTGCAAAACATGACTCTACTCAGTTTGTGAGTGACCAGCTGAAAAACAGGATCTGGGAATGACATATTAGCATTTTGTAGGATTCCTCAACATTGGGTTTTCTTAAAGATTAAAACCACCCCTTATCACAATTCTACACACTGTTGTCATGTGACACTTCAAAGACAAAAGATAGCCCTGAGTTCTGAGCTAAGTAACAATGAGGAATGCTCTGTGAAGGGTAAAGGTCATGATGCTGGACCCAGCAGGGCTTGGGAAAAACCTAAGAAGTATTTGTGTACGTGTCTGAGAATTTTATCTGCTCTACTGGATGATCGTGAGCAAAAAATTGGTTTAGCATGTTTATGTGTCTTTCTTGAAGCTAGAAGGGTAAGAAACCAAATTCCCATAAGTTGCTGAGTTATACTATTAAAATATTATTGATTACAATTTTAAAATGTGACTAATAAGTGAGAAAGTGGTGTGACCCTAAAGGAAACAATACCAGAAAGTTCCTGGAGCCCAAAGACCAGGTAAGATGTTAGGTTAAGACTTAGATTCTGGGCTTCCCTGGTGGCGCAGTGGCTGAGAGTCCGCCTGCCGATGCAGGGGACACGGGTTCGTGCCTCGGTTCGGGAAGATCCCACATGCCGCGGAGCGGCTGGGCCCGTGAGCCATGGCCGCTGGGCCTGCGCGTCTGGAGCCTGTGCTCCGCAACGGGAGAGACCACAACAGTGAGAGGCCTGCGTACTGCAAAAAAAAAAAGACTTAGATTCTATCCCCAAAGTTGCCAAAAATAGGGGGGAGGTGGTGAAGGCAGTGGGGCTCCCAAGGGCTAGCTTGTGAGAAAGGTTTTAGTGACCCTCCACCCTTCCATGATTTTCATTGCCTTTACCCCAAATAACTTTCAGTTTAATAGAGTGTGTTTGCTATGTACCTGCAGCTTCAAGAATAATCCCCTAACCATCCCTCCTCTACAGATGCCACTGCTAAGCTCCTCCGTAGAAATTCTGGAGCCATCACTGGGTGAAGTGGGCAGGTTGGGAACCACTTTGCTTTGATTCATGACCTGTCAAAACCACGGTGATGCCATGCTGCCCTCACACCCCCAATGCTATATTTCCTGGTCAGAGACACATACTAAACTCCCAGCTCAAGTCAATCCACAACCCTGCATTGAAAAGGCCTTTTCTGGTGTTTGTTAGATCCCAGGACTGCCTTTTGGGAACTGCCTGCTGGTCAGTGATGGCCCCTTCAACAACAGCACGGGGGTTCCTTTCTTCTATGTGACACCCAAGGACCTCCTGGTGGCTGATCTGATGAAGAACCCCACGGCCTCCCTCCTGCTGCCGGAATCCGAAGGAGAGTTCTGCAGGTAGGCAAGGGCCCGGCCTCCCCCATCCGGGTCCTCTGCACAAGGCAGGGAGGCTGTGGCTTTAAAGGGGCCCTGAGATGCAAAGCAATGTCTTTGCCACTTGGCCAGGGGGCGGGTTCTGGGCCTGGCTCTGGGTCTCACCAGCACCGAGACTGTGGCTAAGTCCCTGGGTTCTCCACTTTGCTTTCCTCACCTATGAAATTAAGTGGTGGACTGGGTAGTCTTGAAGGTTCTTTTTTGCTTTGAAAAAAATTATTGAAATGACGACTTTATTCTGATAAAGTGATCTTAACTTCTTACGTGGCTTCCAAATGGTTTTTCACAGTTATATCTTAGGCTCCTAAGACACATCTCCAGAAGATACAAAACTTAAATATGAAGCTGATCTTGGTTTAGAATACAAGTCATTTAAAACAATTAAAAGCCTAGAGCCAATGTGTTTCCAGATACCTTGGCAATGTATGCTGTAGAAATGTATTTTCATGTGGAAAGAGTATATATAGCCGTGGAATCAGATCAATAGAATTCTACCACTCACCAAGATGTGTGATTTGGGGCAAGTTATTGAACCTTTGGGAGCCTCAGTTTCCTCATCTGTAAAATGGGAATAGTAGTTTCTACCTCCTAGGGTGATGGGGAGAGTTGGAAAGATTGGCAGCGTCAACACCGGGTGGATAAATGGCAGCTCTCTTTGTTATGGCAAAGGTGGGGGTGGGGGAGGGGAGGGGAGGGGAGTGAAGGAAGAGCCAGTGGTTTGTCTCCAAGGCACATGCAGCATAGAATCCACTTATTGTTTTTCAAATTAATTTCTACCTGCCCCAGTGAGGTGTGTGCAATAAAGACCCAGAGTCCCTTAAATCACTTTCTCAAAAACTCTCTCAAAGAAAGGACAGTTGGGCAAAAATGGAACACTGTATCCAACACCTTTGTCTGAAATCAGAATGTGGAGCTTGAGGTCCAATCCTGCCACCGCCGTGTCTGCGCCGAGCTTGGGGAGGGTGGGGGGCAGGACGCACGTGGGAGGGCACCCCTGCAGTAGTAGCAGAGGCAGTGGGGGACCTTGGGCAAGTCCCTTCACCTGTAATGTAGTGATGCTTTAAGAACTGGGATAAGATACCCCCAGCTCCAAAATGCTATGACTCTTTATGCAAAATATGAAAAACACATTCAGCAAACAAATGTGTCAGTTCTTTGAGGAGGGGAAGTGGTAATAATCAAAGCAACAATGCACCATAAAATGCAGCCTGGATAGGACCCTGTCGCTTACCCCTGGGAGCTGGTGGGAGCTCCATCCATCAGGGTGGAGGCAGTTCAGCTGACCCAGTGCCCTATCGGGGATGGCAGGAAGCCAGGAAAAGGAGTGCCTCCTCTTTTCATGGAATAGTCTCCATGTTCTTGACTATTTCATGGAATGGTCTCAACAAGCTTGCTGTTACTAGAAGTATATTCCCAGGTACCTTTCTAGACGTCTCAGGTGTTCCTCATTCAGGCAGCCTAAAGGCAGCCATTGTGCAGGGCACGTTGATCGCAGACCCCAGAGCACACCTGTCCCTGGAGGTGGGCACAGAATACAGAGCAGAGGATGTACCGCAGCACTCAGGTTGTGGAGGGAATTGTCTCCTGGAAGGTCCCAGGCAGCCGTCAGCAGGAGCTTGGGGCCATGAGAAATCCAGCTTAGAGAGGCCCTCTCCGGGGGCTGGGGCTGGGCACGCTTGGGGCCATGTGTGCGGACCCTCTTCACAGCAGGTCGCGCTTGGAGTTGCAGACCTCCGTGCAGCACACCAGGGTACCTGGATGAGGCAGCTCGCGGCCGGAGGGGACCACCCAGCCCCATCCCCCCCCCCAGGGCCAAGGGCACCAGTATCCCAGACCCTTGTAACTGGCCTGGAGGAGGAGGGATGAGCCACCACCCACTGGTACCCCTCTGTCTAAGCCCTCATGTGAAACTCTACTCCCTCGCACTGTGCCAGCTTCTGAAGTCTTAAAATATAATGTAAATAAATATCTACACAATTAACTGTGGTCTTAGTAAGCATCTCGCCTCGAAGCAGGGATTTTCAGACAATGAGGCTTGTTGTCCCCCCAGGGTCCACTACTTTCCAGGACCTGCTTCAGCCCAGGTGTGATTCATCTGCGTGAAGCTCACATTCCGAGTGCAGCGTCACCCTGTAGGTTTTGCCTCCAGAATCTTGGTAATGTTGAGCACAGAGACTTAACAAGTCAAAGGCGGGCAAAGAGCAGAGCCCTGAATTGAACAACGCTCCTCGGGCCACGGGAGCCTAAAGAAGCATCAGGTGGAAACGTCTGTGGCTAAGAACTTCCCTGACAAGTTCAAGGGGCCGCCTGCAAGGCTGCAGGAAGCTGCCCCTCCTGCCTGATCCCGGCCTGCAGAGATTCCCACAGAGCAGGGAGATCCAGAAAAGCACCCACTTCTCACGATGATGACGGTAAATCAAGGACACCTGATCCTTTGACCTTTGGAAAGCATGAGAATCGCCTCCGTTCTGTGAAGCAGGTGTTCTTGTGAACTGCAAACTTTCAGCAGCATTTTTACCCTCAGATCTGGTGCATTCTGTGCGCTCATGTCCCTCTGCCTGTCTGCGCACTGGGGTGGAGGTGGATTTTCCCTAAGCGGGAAGACAAAGCCAGGACCCGGCCTGTCTACACGATGCATCCTGAGACTCCTGTAGGCCTGGGGCGCCATGTTTGTCTGAGGAGCCCTCAGAGCCTGAACCATAAACCAAGGTCGGACAGAGAGGAAGCAGCGTGGCCACTGATGCTCTGAGAGGAGGAAAGAGGTGCCTTCCCAGCCGTTTCCTGCAGGGTCCACTGGGCATCTCAGCTGCAGGCCTGCCTCTGCATCCATCAGGGTTAGCCCTGGTTCCTGCAGAGTCTGGACTGGGGCAGTCTGGTGAGCTCGGCCTCCACCGACAGGACATAGCTTGAGAAGGAAGCCATCCAACAAACAGAAGCGAATGTAAGTCTGATTCCACTGCAAGGGCAGGCTGAGCTGGCCCTCTGTACTTTAGAGCTCCGTTGGGTGTGCAGGACAATTGTATGTACAATGTGTATGTGTTTAATAAGCAGATGGGTGGACAAGACAGAGAGAGAGAGAGGGAGAGAGGGATGATGATAGATAGATAGATGTGTGTGTGTGGCTTCACGTATTCAACTATTACCTGTTCTGAGAACATATACTACAGTTGCCCCCAACTGGCCTCCCCAGTTCACTCTCTCTCACCTTGATTTCATCCTCAATCCAATATCTGAAGTAATATTTCAAAACCCATATAAGACCCTGGGATTCTCCTGCTTAAACTCTTTCACTAGGAGAAATAGCAAACTCCTGAATATGGCCTAGGAGGCCCTGCCTGGAGGACACCCGCCTCCCTCTCAGAATAAATAATAGTGGTTAACCCTTTGCTGATTGACTTAGTATGTGACTTATACCCTAGTTTTATTAAATGGAGAGGTTTAACCTGAAAACTTGTAATCTAAACTGATGTATGTGTCTGGCATACAGCTAAGAAATGCTTTTTTAAAAAATTGAGATATAATTGATGTATAACGTTGTGCATGGTGTTAATTTGGTACATGTATGTATTGCAATATGGTTATCCCTGAAGTCTTAGCCAACATCTCTGTCACGTCACATAATTATCATTTCTTTTTTGGGGTGAGAACATTTAAGATCTAGTCTTTTAGCAACTTTGAAGTTTATAATACAGTATTGGGGGCTTTTTTGTTGGGTTTTGTTGTTGTTGTTGTTTTAAGTTTTATTTAAATTTTATTTTTTTTGGCTGCGTTGGGTCTTAGTTGCGACACACGGGATCTTAGCTGCTGTGCTCAGGCTTCTCTTTAGTTGTGGTGTGCGGATTTTTTCTTCTCTAGTTGAGGCACGTGAGCTCAGTAGCTGTGGCACTCGGGCTTAGTTGCCCAGCAGCATGTGGGATCCTAGTTGCTTGACCAGGGATCCAACCCACGTCCTCTGCATTGGAAGGCGGATTCTTTACCACTGGACCACCAGGGAAGTCCCTGTAACACAGTACTGTTGAATATACTCACTGTGTTGTGCATTAGATCTCCAGGACTTATTCGTCTTCTAACTGCGAGTTTGTGCATTTTGACCAACATCTCCCCAGTTCCCGAACCCCCAGGCCCTGGTAACCTGGTAATCATTAAATCTCTGTTTCTATGAGTCTGGCTTTTTTAGTTTCCACATATAAGGGATATCATGCAGTATTTGTCTTTATCTGATTTACCTCAGCATAATGTCCTCAAAGTCCATCCGTGTATTGCAAATGGCATTATTTCACCCTTTCTTATGGCTGAGTAGTATTCAATGGTATATATGGGTACCACATCTTCTTTATCCATTCATCTGTTGTTGGACATTTAGGTTGTTTCCACATCTAGGCTATTGTAAATAGTGCTGCTATGAACATTCGGGTGCGTGTATCTTTTCGAATTAGAGTTTTCATCTTTTCTGGATATATGCCCAGGAGTGGGATTGCTGGATCATATGGTAGCTCTATTTTTAGTTTTTTAAGGAACATCCATACTGTTCTCTATAGTGGCTATACCAATTTACATTCCCACCAACAGTGTAGGAAGGTTCCCTTTTCTCCACACCCTCTCCAGCATTTATTACTTGTAGACGTTTTGATGATGGCCATTCTAACCAGTGTGAGGCGATACCTCATTGTAGTTTTGATTTGCATTTCTCTAGTAATTAGCGATGTTGAGCATCTTTTCATGTACCTGTTGGCCATATGTATGTCTTCTTTGGAGAAATGTCTATTCAGATCTTCTGCCCAGTTTTTGATTGGGTTGTTTATTCTTTTGATATTGAGTTGTATGAGCTGTTTGTATATTTTGGATATTAACCCCTTGTCAGTTGCATCATTTGCAGATATTTTCTCCCAGTCCATAGGTTGTCTTTTTCTTTTGTTGATTGTTTCCTTTGCTGTACGAAAGCTTTTAAGTTTGATTACGTCCCGTTTGTTTATGTTTGCTTTTCTTTCTTTTGCCTTTGGAGACTGATCTAAGAAAATATTCCTATGATTTATGTCTGAGAATGCTTTACCTATGTTCTCTTCTAGGAGTTTTATTTAGGTCTTTAAACCATTTTGAGTTTAGTTTTGTGTGCGGGTGTTCTAACTCCATTGATTTATGTGTAGCTGTCCAGCTTTTCCCAACACCATTTGTTGAAGAGACTGTCTTTCCTCCATTGTTGTTCTTGCCTTCTTTGTCGAAGGTTAATTGGCCATAGGTGTGTGGGCTTATTTCTGGGCTCTCGATTCTGTTCCATTGATGATGTACTTGTCCATTTTGGGGGGGCACAGTCGTTTGACTCCCATCTCAGGACATATTGAATTAGGTGCTATTACCCTGTCCTTCTTCCTAGAGGAGAAAATTTGGAAAATGAATCAGACAGGATGATAAGCAGAGAATGACTTTCAGTACTGAAAAAGGACAGAGTAACCAAGGAAAGTTTCTGGAGTATCTTACCTATTCAGCACCTCGCTTTGTGCTGGAGAGGGAAGGGGAAATCTGCAGGCCTTCTGGCTTCATGGGTAGCTGGAGTCAAGATAGTCTGAGAGTGGAAAAGACAGAATAAGTGAGAAGAGCGTCTAGATTGCTACAGGGAGGCTATAAAGAGCAAACTCTCACAAATTAGAGTGGTAGAGTGACTTTCAATTCCATGGAGACAGAGTGAGGGTGACATACCATAATGATCTGGACAGCCTTGCCCCTCCCACAGCCCAAAGATGAGAACCACTTGGGGGACAAGGCTTCATAGTTTGAAGGAGCTCGGAGGTGAGTTCTGACACTTCTTTAGGTTAGTTAGGACGTGGGGTGGGTCTGATATGCGTTTCCTGGGTTTCCAGTGAAGGCTGCTGAGAACCGCGGTCCAGCCCCCGGATGACTCACATCATTTATAAAACAAAGTCAAGTTACAGTCTGAGAATGGTAGGAAGGGAAGTGGCTTTTCCACCTCATCATTCATTACATCCATCCAAACCAGAACCTACAAACATGTCTTGCCTAATTATTGTTAGTTTGTTTACAGTTTGTTTTATTCACTTATTCCGTTTACCCCTTTGTGCTGTGATTCCTTCATTTAATTCATTAGATGAATTAGGGATGTAAATCTGTTTCCTAGCTCAGGTGAAGATGACGAGTTGAGAATAAGATTCCAGTTTGCAGAATTCACCAGCAATCAGCAACCACTTCTTTCCCATTTCCTCTCCCTTCAACACATCAGCATGTACAGATGCTCCTGGGACTCAGTGAATTTATGCTCAGACCGGGGGCCCAGTTGTATGGAGATTCACTAAAAATTGACTTGACAAAGAAAGCCCACTTGAGAAATTTCTCTTCCATTGAAACGTCTTTCCTTACCGAGCACGCAGGCCTGAATGCCGTGGGTCTACGTTTTGCATCTTCTTAGCCAAAGCAAAGCAAGCCCTCAGGACCAGAATGAACCACATTCTGCTGGCATAGGCTCATCTTTCGTGTTGAAGATTTGGAAATAAATGGAATCCGGAGGCTTTTCCTAAAATGAAAAAATGTTTTCATTTGATAGTTTGGACAAATGCTAGGTTTCTAGAAAGACAGAGTTGATTATCAAGAAAGGAAGATCTGAAGACGCTTTTTTCCTTTTCCCCAAAAGGCTTTTAACAACAGGTGGTCGTGGCCATTGCCATGGGTCACAGCCCCTGTCCTGTCCCAGGCCGAAAGCATCCCTGCCCAGACAGTGGTCAGAGCTCTAACTGACCAGGCCTCTGTGATTTGGCATCAGAGGAGATGCTAAGATTCTAGTTTTTAAAGGTATCTAGTTTCTGAAGGAGAGGTGCCAGACCATGACTAGACTGAAGCCCTGTGGGCATATAGGACCAAGAATGGGAGCCTTTCAGAATGATGACCCATAAGGGGTGCCTATTACAGAGGCAATTCAGCGCTGAAGAATCACACATCAAAAGGTGTTGCTCACATACAGTTTCGGGCAATGTGCTTGAGCATAGTTTCCTGCCCTAGCTTATGAGCAGGTCCTGCATTTTATAGGCATGTTGACAGGAGAAGAAACTGCTTTGGTGAAACAGGATAAATAAGAGGAGGCTGTTGGTGGGAGGGTGGGCCTGCCTTTATGTGCCGTTATGTGCCGTGGGCACCGGATGAACACTTAGCACAAACAACCAAATTGTATGCACTGAGTTTAATCCTTTTTTTCTGTGCTGAAAATAAAAAGAGATTCCAGAAATCTAAATGCCTGTTAGCCATCTCTATGTTTTTAACTGTTTTTGTCAGAAGAAAAGATATTGTTGAACGATAGCTGAAAGCCTCAGCCCAGCCTAATTCCAAACGCAGGCTCTGCGGGTTGCTGCCTAGAACTGCGTAGAGGGCAAGCTTCCATCGTTCTTTAGATGAGCCCCGTCAAATGAGCTTACAGAATAAGCCTGTGCTTGCAGCAGCTTGCCTTCTAATAGCCAAGATGTGTCTCACGTCCACCTGGGACACGATGAGCATTTCAAAGTACAGGGCCCAGCCCTAATCAGATAAAGACGTTGAGTTCCAGTTCTCTTCTCTGAATTGTGTTCATTCCCCTTGAAGGCAACATATAAATCTTCTAAATAAATTGCTCTCTGGCCAGATTCATGTCACCTCTTCTCCTATGCCCACACATTCCTGTAATCAGAAAGTTAACATTAACTCAAGTAACTTTTATTTATTTATTTATTTATTTATTTATTTATTTTTGGCTGTGTTGGGTTTTTGTTGCTGCGCGTGGGCTTTCTCTAGTTGCAGCAGGGGCTACTCTTTGTTGCGGTGCGCAGGCTTCTCATTGCAGTGGCTTCTCCTGTCGTGGAGCATGGGATCTAGACACACGGGCTTCAGTAGTTGTGGCACGTGGGCTTAGTTGCTCTGGGACATGTGGGATCTTCCCGGACCAGGGCTTGGACCCGTGTCCCCTGC